TAAATCCATTTTAAATTTAATTTAGTAGAGGCCTGACTTGTCTCGAGTATTGCACCTATCCTGTGATTCAACGGAATTTGTATATTGTAGAGTGGTTAAGTCCTTATCATATTGACAGCTTGGTATCGAGTCTCGTTGGGGGCGCTGATGAGACCTAGGCGATGTCGAAGCTACACCATCCTAGCTGACAAGGGCTTTTTGCGGGCAAGAACTAACGAACTTAATTGTCTTCGGAAGACCTAATTATACCATCGTGTAAAAAACTTAACTATAAGTTCTTATAGATCCCAAATATACTTTGTCAATGAAGTTTATTAATCGGCTAACTATACAGTTTACTATTAGTTTAGACATTCATTTCCCAAACCCTTTTGATTCTGAACCCTGTCTTATGCCCACTTATAATCAAAAATTGATTTGTCGGCTGTTAAATTCATTGGAGGCATTTACTGGCCTACTATTCCGAAAATATGAACACCTTTTGTTACTTTTAATTCAAGAAATCAGCGGTGCTGCTGCCTTCTTCTCCGGCTTCAGAGGTTTGGCTCCAAGGAGAACTAGGCATTTGCCGCCTTCTTCACCTCCCCAACCAGTTAGATCTGGACCTAATTACGATCCATCGGGTGTCCTTGACTCTTTTGCCGAACCCGAAACTTCGGCCGATTATACTTGGGGCTGGAACTACGAAGAATTCCGCCGGAGATTTGATCCCGCTGTGCAGAGTCAAGGACTGCGTCGTTTACGCAATCTCTTTTTTCCATATCTTGTAGAACTGCGCGCTCTTTCCAAGGCTGCGCCCTACCTTTCTCGGCTGTCTTATTTCACTGGCTCCCCTGAGGGGGATAAAGACACGCGAGAGGCCGTATTTGATTTGCTTAGCATTATCAGGTAGGACAATCGCTATAAGAATGGATGAATAATTACCCACATGTTGACAAAATTGACTTGTCCCTCTCCCGAGTTTCAAATTCACTTGCGTTGTGGCTGGTTTATAGCCTTTTTACATTAGCGACTTATTCCGGCCTATACATAGACTTATTATGTGTCTCAGGTCTATCAACAGCCTCGGTAATCTTAAAATTGCACACTAGTCCAAATTAATTCATTGGATAATCTCACCGTAAGACGAAGTCGATTCCCGTTGTTCTGTGATCGTTTGGCCCTATTAAAACATCCAGATTCATGCAGTCCACGGGACATCTTCCATCGTTTCGAATGAAACTGTGCTAAGCTTTTGTTCGTGTTATGACGGTTATCATCAGGGTTGGAACTCATAATAGCAAGTCTCGAGTTAACATTAGGTCAACAAGGCTGTTGCGCTATATTGAGCATGTAATATTTACTCAATTTATAAATAAAAATATATAGATCTAGATAGATATTATGATTTGACTGATTCTCTTTCATATCGGCCATTGTACCTTTATTTGTATGTGTGTGTGTGTTAACATCTGTACGCTATGACTGTCCCAATTCACAATATTTATAAAGCATTACTTCGGTCTGGTTATCAAGGTTTAATGGGCAGGGGCAAGCATCATCGAGGTTGCGTAAGTTCGTTAAGATATTGTGATGTAATATTGTACGAGTGTATTGCAGTTTACAGAACCAACTAAATCATTCGAGTACTACCTATACATACAACATGTACGGTAGAGCCTGACAATTTTCTTATCTTGGTGCTAACTTGCTACTTTTTTTAAAGAATGAGTTATCTCTAAAAATGCTCTTCATTAGACGAGCGAAGGCTTACTCCGGTTTCATCTGAAAGGATGGGGGCTCTCACGTGGATTACGTCAATCTGGATGCCATAGTATAGCCAAACTACGGCGGAACAATGAGAATCGGCTGTCGCCTTCCAGTGAGATCAACCAACGAATCTTTTCGTCATGCACTTTCATTCGAAGTTAAGTCTCCATAACAGTGTTACCTTAGGATATTCATCGAAGCCTAGCTACTTTTCGTATATTAATTTTGAACTAGATAACTTGATTATTAGTTTGAGTCGGAAACATCTAGCACTAATTATTGCTTTATGCTCGTTGAAAACAGCTTACTCTCTTATGTACTAAATGTATTGAAGGCTAACTATTAAAAACTTATTACTAGTCTTATTTTAGGAATGCTCGTGTAAAATGAACGAAAATCTGAGTAAATAAACTTCCATTTCGAGTAAAAGTGTTTGGTGAAAAGATTTGAAGGTCGATTTTACCAGAAGACGACGGCGGATTCCTCTTGATTAGCTGTCGATTAGCTTTACCGGAACATTCATGGTGACTCTGTTTCCTAGCTAATCTCCTTCGATTTCAGTGAAAAGGTACCAAGTTTTTGTCCGTCATATGACGAACATCATTAGCGTAAGATATTATCGTCACAATCAAATTCAAGCTTACGACTCAAGAAAACTCACTGGCAAATCCCGGAACGTATCACCTGCACTTTCAGTTGAAATGAAAGTAAGTTCAACAATTATGAAACAAGAGTTTCCTTGAGATCCAACTTATCAGTCCTTCAGATATTACTCTTAAAGTATGGATATACTTCTTTTTTAAGACAGTTCAATTTTTTATTAAGAAGGCCTAATTCAACATTCGCCCTGGGTCTTAGCCAACGATACGATCTTATTTATTTATTATTAAAGCCAAAAGTTTAGCCTTAGTACAACAGTTTTTGGAGCTGTCGATCATTTAATTATCCCTTTATTCCAGATTAAATAGAAGATGGTAGGATTTAGTTGAGAGGCTTTATAGACTGATAAAATGTATAAAGCTAAATACTATGAATCTATGATCGATTTGGAGTGCCCCCGAGTAGACAAAGGGATGTAGTATCGTAAAACCGAGGTGGTGAACGGCACTGTATGCCGCAGTGGAGAGGTATCAAGGTCACGCTGCGTAAAGATGCTATGTTTATTCGAAAGCGATCTTCGCAAAGTACCTTTACTGCTGCAGAAAAATTAAGTTACTGTGTGGATGCGGACTTTATAATGCGATTTTTTAAGGACTACGTTGGTCTCCAAACTGGATGTGCATGGTCCTCTTGCGTTCAGTGGTCCAACCGTCTTGTCGTGGTATATATGCGAGACACGAATAAGCAACTGGCGAAGAAAGAGCCCACAAAGACCGTTATCCTGAGGGAGGTTTGATGAGATGATCTGGCTCGGTTAATGTTACGGTGCTCCAATGGTGTCTTTTTGGTTCTTACAAAGCTGAGCTTTGGAACTTTCCATCGGAAATCCTTTGAGGCGAGATGCTATTGTATGTCCATAGAAAAGTGGCACTGAGATAGAGCCCCCATTTCAGCATATGTACAGGCGTTGTTTCAAGCGGAGATAAGGCTAAATTGGCGTACAGGAATAAGCTGTAGGGAGCATGCATTTAAAAAGGATGAGAGATAGGAAAGGAGATCGTTTAATTGCTGCATAACTGCTTTGTTTGCGCCTGAATGATGGAACGTTTTGGGACCTAAGGTAAAACGAAACTTGATGGAATGTTGAGGTCTACGCCTACCATAGTGGATAAAAATTTCACTACTTATATATCCTAGGTGACCTGGCTAGCTATGCTCATATTCAGAAATTAATTATCGTTTCAAAAAATGTCTATCTTCTGATATTTGTGAGTTTCTGTTTGTAGCATTTCTCTGAACCGTTATCTTATGATCTCACTGTACTCATTTTTAAATGTCATATGCTTTCGACATCCTATTTAGATTATAGAGGTGCGTATTAAGGTGTTCAAACAATAAATGTGTATACACTATGATAGCTATCCTTCATTTTTGTTACTTGATTTCATTAGTTTTGATTATAACTAATTGGGGCTTAGTTAGATCTTATGATTACTTGAATTAGATTGTTGGGGAAACTTTTATTTCTTATGAAAGTGCATGAAGAAGAGATTCGATGGTCGATCTTACCAGAAGAGGATGTCTGATTCTCGTTGTACTGCATCCGTTTGGCTCTACTACGACGTTCAGGTTGGCGCAGTCTACGAGACATCTTCCCTCATTTCT